TACTATGCAAAACTTTTTTAGAAGGAATCGGAGATTTTATAATGTAGGACTTCAGCCACAAGATTGCAAGTTTGTATCCGCCAGTGCAATTTCCTGTTAGTCGGGAACACCAATGATATCTCCTCTCATTAGGTCCGCTTTCTTGCTGAAATATAAGTATAAGAAACGAATTCACGATTCTTTGTTTACATTACTAATTTTAAAACAATATTGCAGATGGAATCACTTGAGGACTATTACTTACCATTATCCAGGTGAAAGTAAAATTTTCAGCAGAGAAAGAATCGTCACTATTACAACCGCTGATGCAGATTTTGAATATATGTCTGACCATATAATCGATGGAAGAAATTTGTTACCAGCTATGGGTTACCTTTACGAAATTTGGCATACTATTGTGTTTGTTGAGCGGCATTGATCATGAAACATACCTATTGTATTTGAAATGTTAAATTCATACGCGCTACTCACTATTATCACGACAAGACAAGCTGGACTTAACTATTATGATCAAGAAGGTAAATACTTTTGCAATTACCCGAGACTCAATTCTCGATATTCCCTTACAGTGATATTGTGACATAACATTAACAATAATATAATCAACATTAAGAAAAAAAGATGGAAAAACATTGCGAAGTCGCAGTGATTCAATTTCCTGCAACAACAAAATTGTCTTCAACAATAGAAATCAAGTCGATGTAATAGATTCAGAGAAATAGTGATATTATCGTGTAATAATTGTAATACTTTTACAGGCGGTAATAATTCGAGATTATAGAGGGAGAGAATGTAATCGTCAGTGGAGTCGTGAGGGTGCCTGACGATATCGTGAAAGAGAAAATATCCGTTCAGTTTCTACCGAAAAACGAAGATGATGAAGAATGCATGAATGCTGCAGATATTTACAAGGAACTACGACTCCGTGGCTACCAGTATAATGGTCTATTTCGTTCATTAAAAAGCTCCTCAATTAATGGAAGTACAGGACATATCACGTGGGCAACAAATTGGGTAGCGTTTATGGACAATATGCTGCAAATAAAACTCTTATCGGTTGACTCGAGAAATCTTTACGTACCGACTCAAATTCGTAAATTGGTAATCGACCCTGCACATCATATGACGCAGTTTCATAACCTCTCTATTGAAGAAAGAAGTAAGAACGCACAATTTAATTTAAAATATTTTCGTATTTTGCAATATTTTGCTCTTCATGCAGGTTTCCTATTGTCATCTCCATATTGTGAATTTTATTACAGATGTACCCGTACGTGTCTATGATTCTTTCGACGCCATTATATCCGGAGGAATTGAAATTTGTGGGCTGAAGTCCATGGTCATATCCCGCCGATCGACGAACGTCGAATCTGTACACGAAGAATACAAGTTCATTGCTCACCGCGATCATAACACGATCTCTTTGAAAGATGCGGTGCAAATATCGATACACATCGCGCTTGAATGTTACAATTTGAGAAACGTCAAAGTGATCGAGTTTGTCGAGGACGATGACAAGATTCTACTGGAGGATCTAGTTATTCCAATTGTAGACAAAGTTCTGAGCAACTTGCCATTAGTGCGATCTAATCTGACGTTGGCTGCGATGGAGAACAGATTCGACTGCTCTTTGTTACCACAAAATCTATCGGTCGTACAACCTAACAAACTGTTAAACGACGGTACGTTCCTAATGGTTGTTGGAGTTGGAGTATTAACGAAAGGTGCACACACATTACTATCTAATATAATGGCTGGTGGCTTTCTGTTTACCCGAGAGGACCTCAATGTCACATATGACAACGAGTTGCTCCAACAGTACAATTTGAATATCATTTTGGAGAAACGCACGGAACGGGAGTTGGTGTTGCTTCTGAGAAAGGCGCAAAGTGCAATAATAAAAAGAGAAATCGTGCATATAAACAATTACGAGTTTTCGTGGATCGAAAAGCTCAAATCTTCATTGGACACGGACGACGAGACGAACTCACGAGTAACACTTGTTGTGGAAGATGATCCTGAGTGCGGTGTCATAGGATTTGTAAATTGTTTGCGAAAGGAGCCAGGCGGCGACACAGTTAGATGCGTCTTCATTCAGGATAAGAACGCGCCCAAGTTCTCCTTGCAAGAGCCTTTTTACATGAATCAGTTGCGACTGGACTTACCCATTAATGTCTTACGTCCCGGCAAAGTTTGGGGCTCTTACAGACACTTGTCATTACCGCCGCCGGAACCCATACCCGTGCAGTGCGGTTACGTTGCTCAAAGGGTACGTAAGTGTTTTGTATACGATAACAAAGTGGACACTGAAAGAAATTTGCATAAAACTTGATCTATCTTTGTGCGGAAAACGTCGAAACAACTCAATTTTAGTCAAAACCATTCCTTTACAACAATTTTTTTGTATTAATAATAATACGAAATTATATCGTCAACTTAATTCCTATTAGATCCGAGGTGATATGAGCACAATCCGTTGGGTCGAAGGACGGACATCTCCCAAACTCAACCGCGAAAATATGATACATAAAATTTACGTGGCACTGAATTTCAAAGATATTATGATAGCTACTGGTAAACTGGCGTTGGAATCCTTTCAAATGATTGAACGAGAAATCGATTCTTTCTTAGGCTTTGAATTTGTCGGATATGATGGGTTTGGACAAAGAATAATGGCGATATGCTCCGATAGGTGGGATGATATAATACAAAATATAGTTATTATATCATAGATATAAATTCAATAACAATGTTGTATTGAAGGATATTAGATTTAGCACTAATGTAGATATGAAATGCAGTTATCAATTTTCCCTCCATGATTGAAAGACGACGTCAACTTGAATGAAAACATAATTTATATTTTTAGAGGAATATCAAATGTTGCAATCCAGGACCGCGTGATGTCTTGGGTTATTCCCGATGAATGGACATTCGAGGATGCTGCTACAGTTCCGTGTGTTTATGCTACAAGCTGCTACGCTCTCTACGAGAAAGGAAAAATGAAGAGAGGAGACAAAGTTCTCATTCATTCGGGCACCGGCGGTATTGGTCAAGCCGCGATCCACCTCGCGCTGTACGAAAAGTGCGAAGTATTCACAACAGTCGGAACTTTGAAGAAACGGCAATTCATTAGAGAAACTTTTCCTTCGATCCTTGACGATCATATCGGCAATTCTCGTGACACAAGTTTCGAACAAATGATACTTGAGCAGACACGCGGTCGGGGAGTTGATATCGTATTGAATTCCTTAGCTGAGGAGAAGCTTCAGGCGTCTATTCGCTGCTTGGCAAAAGGCGGTCGATTCTTGGAAATAGGAAAATATGACTTGATCGCCGATAATACTTTAGATAGAATGATTTTTACGAAAGGCATCAGTTTTCATGCGATTATGTTAGACAATATAATAAGTTCCGTCTCAAAGAATTACGGAATTGTATATAATTATGTGTTACAATGTCTAAAAAATGGCTCGATAAAACCTCTTCCAAGGAAAGTCTTTGAAAAGACCGAAGTAGAAGATGCCTTCAGGTATATGGCAACTGGCAAGCAATAGGAAAGGTAATTTCTCGCGCACACTAGAAATTCATGTTTTTAATGTTATCGCAACAGCTGCTCTATATATGATCGCAATGAAATTCTGTTATTATCATTCTTATTTTCAGATCCTGATAAAGATATGCGATGAAAACGAGCCATTGAGTCTTCCTATTCTCGCTTATCCCCGATTTTTCTGCAAGTCTCATATGTCTTACATCATTTTGGGCGGATTAGGCGGCTTTGGTCTAGAATTGGCCGACTGGCTGATTCTTCGCGGAGCAAAGAATCTTCTTCTCACTTCGCGGACAGGATTGCGAAACGGTTACCAGCGCTCGAGGGTGGAATTATGGAAGTCCTATGGGGTGAATGTGCAGATTATCGCGAGCGCTGAAGCGTCTGATCACAAAGACGGCGCGTCCATCCTGAACACTGCCATTGAAATGGGACCGGTGGACGCTATATTCAATCTTGCCGTAGTGCTGAAAGATTCTCTCTACAAGAATCAGACAACTGAGTCCTTCGAGGAATCATTTAAACCGAAAGCAATGGCGACGAAAACAATGGACGAGTTGTCCAGGAAAATGTGCCCTGACCTCCGGTACTTTGTTGTCTTCTCATCCGTTTCGTGCGGCCGAGGAAACTCCGGCCAAACTAATTACGGTATGGCCAATTCCATCATGGAGAGAATATGCGAGAGAAGAGTACAAGACGGATTACCTGGGATGGCTATACAGTGGGGCGCGGTGGGTGATGTGGGTCTCGTGGCCGATATGCAAAAGGACAATAAGGAACTGATCATCGGCGGTACTTTACAACAGAAAATACAGTCCTGTCTGCAGTCGCTGGACACTTTCATGGTTCTAAATAAGCCGATCGTGGGTAGTATGGTTGTGGCAGAGAAGCGCGCGACATTTGGTGGAGTGATGGACATTATGGAAACTGTAGCTAGTATCATGGGTAATTTTTTCATCATAAACGTGACAAATCTGATGATCATTTCGAAAACTTTTTACGATAAAACATTGAAATTAAAGTTAAAAAATTACAATTAATGACACACATAATGTTAATTGTATTCAGGGTGTTTCACAGAATCCTAACAATTAATATCTATTGTATTTTGGAAAATACAAAAGAATAAGACAGCGTAAGTAAAAGTTGAATGTTCTCATAAGCATTATTGTCTTATGAAGTCAATTTTTTGGTAGCGCAGTGACGAGAAGAATGCAGCTACATTTTTATCTTAAACTGAAGCCCCTGATTTTTCTTTGTACAAGTTAAAATATTCTGCAGAAAGTAAGTAGTTAAATGAATAGACATTTCAGATTCAGATTTTAAAGTAAATATTCGAATGTTCCATCGTACAACAAACATTTGGCAACATTACGGATATGAGACGATATATAATTGCAGCATTTATAGCATTCTTATCACAAAACACAAAAATGGTGAACATGTCTGCTTTTGTTCATTGTTTAAAACTTTCATAATGATATATTTTCTTCATTGAATTACAACTCGTTACTGCGTACGATTCTTATTGTTAGACAGGCGTAGACGGTACAATTTTTTCGACGCAATTGAATATTTACAAACAGTGTTCGAAATATCCTTCTAGACACTCGATGCCAAATGTTTATTGTATGGTGGAACGTTCAAACATTTACTTTAATAAATCTTAAATGTCTTATTAACTACTCATTTTTTGGTCATCTTATCCTGCTACCTTTTTACGGAGAATATTTAAAATATCTATTTATACAAAAAATTTACGAAAAATATTTTAAAAATCTACTTATACAAAAAATAAAGGAGTTCTATTTAAAATAAAAATGCAATTATATTTTTATGGTCCAACCTTCATTGCACCAATAAAAAATCAATTTCATAAAAAAATAGTGTGCCCACTCAATTCAAGATTAGGATTCAACTTTTCCTTACATCATTTTTTTCTACTGTCCGAAGTGTAATAGATATTAAATGTTACTGTTTTATAAAACACCTATGGCAAGAATGATGTGTGTATTCTTTCTCATACCTTTTGTTGTGATTTATGTGATCATGATAAAAATCCAAGAGCCTTATCTTCTCCTGTCTTTGCTTACTTAGGAATAAAAGATGTGAAAGCGGTTGGACTTCGCACCCCCCTGTCAGAGATGGGTATGGATTCAATGATGGCGGTAGAGATCAAGCAAACGTTGGAGAAAGAATTCGACGTTTATCTTACCGCGCAGGACATTAGAACTCTCACTTTAGAGAAACTCCACAATATGGCCGATAAAGACAAGCGTTTTGAGCAGATTGAGACACTCGATTCAGAGGGTATAAAATTTTTAATTCGTTTAATCAATAATTTAGACATAGTTCCAGATGTTTGCTTGGAGACAACTACGAGAAATAAAATGGGCACAAAGCGGATATTTCTTCTACCAGGAATCGAAGGTTGCGGGAGCGTATTTAATTTGTTGGCTTCGAAAATCGAAGGTCCCGTGACATGTTTGCAGCACGGAGCAAACAATATCCCCACGAGTGAATCTGTATTGCAGTCGGCTGCCAGTCTGTTACCTGTACGTATTAATATAACAGGGAAGTTGCCTTTTCGATATTTCCGTGATTCCATTCCACTAGACTGGAATTGCGTCACGTCGATCAAGAAACTAATAAGAAAAAAAGAACATTAATATTTCTTTCTTTTTTTGTAGCATATAATATCAAAGATGGAGGGTTCTGCGGAATTCATAATAGTTGGGTATTCATACGGGTCGTTAATCGCTATCGAGTTGATGAGATTGTTGGAGGCGAGAAATTTCACAGGACGGTTAATATTAATTGATGGCACACCGGATTATATGAAAACTCTGAAAGATCAATATTTTCCTTTCACGAATCTTCAGGAATTTCAGAATAATGTTCTCCTAGGCCTTATAGATCTCTTCTACTCTGTCGATAATACATCGGTATGTTGTGTATGGTGAATTTATTGTTATAATATAAGACACGTAATAACGATAATTGTTAACAGGTTCTATTAGAATTGTCTAAACACGACACGTGGGAAAAAAAATGGGATGCTGTCGTCAAATGTCTTTCAGACGATATTGTGCAAGTAACTTCTCTTGAAAATTACAAAATTTATTGTACAACGATTTATAAGCATCTGATCGCTATTCACGAGTATGATGCTTCCTCATTACCGCCACTGAAATCGCCTATACTATTACTAAAACCTACAACGTCCAACCTGCCTTCTGCCGACGAAAATAGCGACTTGAAAAAGGTAATCTTAATATAAGGACGCATATCGATGTATCCGCCTTTGAAAATCAATTGACGACAAAATTAATTATTATTCAGGTGACTGAAGGTAACGTGCAAGTTCGTCGTGTCGAAGGTAATCATCTCACGATGTTGGAAAATGATGAACTTGCTGATATTATTAACGAAATATTATCTTGAGAAGTTAATCTTTATAATGTTACAAAAGTTCGTAATTCTGTAAATCGAAGGTATCAAGGTGTGTGGAAAGGGAAGGAGAATACGCAGAATATTTATTATAAACAAGGCAATAATAAAATATTATGGTAAAATACTCGATTATTTATTCATCGTGCATGATTAATAAACAAGTATAAATAACTTTCGTCGCCAATATGGAGAAACGTTTATAACTCTAAAAAAGGATTGCTTACTTTTGTTTGATATTTATTCTAAATTCACGCATTGCGGCTTTAAATGGCTTCCTATTTTTATACTTTCGTACATTACGTGTCGTCGTTGACATTTTTCCGTTCTTACTTTAGGTAACATTTAAGTCTCTACTTAACATTCTTTTCTACATTAATTCTGGTCAACTTTGGATTTATATTTGATAAATATATATTCTGATAAACTGGAATAAATTGATATATGCTACTGTATTCTGCTATAAACGTTTATGATAAATATACCGGATAGGAGATCCACCTGCAATGACCTTTATCTTTACATATATTTGCAAGATCTCCCTCCTGAGGCCGGATTTATCCCTACTTATATGTACCACTGATTAATATCGCATTTAACATTTTTGAACTTAAGGGGATGCTGGGTACCTATTATGGAATTCGTCGAAATCGATTCCGATTGTAATAATTCCGTTTCCCCTAGAAAAGACAATAGAGATCTAGGAAATAACGGAATAAATCCGATCGGAATCGATTCCGACGAGTTCCATAATAGGTACCCTGAACGCTTTGTCGACAGAGAACTGTCAAAATTTGATATTTTTTCTGCAAAGTTTACGTCGTCTTAAATGCTTCAGAATTAAAAATGCTTTTACACGATAAAAGTACGTACAAAAATTAATTGGAGCATCACTCAATATATGACGAAAGCGATAAAAAATTTTTAAATTAAAATTTCGAATTGACAGTTAGCGTAATATTTATCTAATACAAAAGTTTTGCAACTTGTATGTACTGAAACTCTGAATGCTCGAAAGAGGAAAAATTTACAAATCGTTTCTAACAACTCAAAATTTAGGTAGGAAACCTAAAACGATACAAAAACTTTGCAGAAAAAATTTTAATATATGCGGTTAGGTCTTCTGCTCTTGCTATAATCAAGAATATATTACTATAATAGTGTCCTAACTTTTGTTAATGTAATAATTCTGAAATTTCCAAAAGCCTATAAGTTAACAAAAGTTAGGGCACTATTATAATAATATATTCTTGATAGTAAATAAAGTAAGAAAGTCTAATACTATTTTTTCTGTCGACGAATAGTTAGCGAGATATCGTAAGTTAAATGTTGAAAAAGTTACCAAGTTTCCCTTAAATATTTCTAAAAAATATTAGGCAAATAAAAAAATGTTTCAGACAAAAGTTGTTCAAATTAATTGGTAGAAAAAGAAGATATAATAAAAAATTAGGCTTCCAACTTAAAAAAATTAAGTTGACCTTCAACCAACTTTGAAAATGCCTTCCAAATAAAAAATTGATAATGCCATTCTCTTTCCCCTTCGAAATCATGGAAGACGTATTTTAGCTTTTTTTAATATCTTTCATAGTTTTCTAGATTTCTTACCTGTTACGTTTGAAATTTAGCACCCTATATATATATTTACAAAATCGGTCCTGAAATATAAAAAATAAAAATAAATTCATTAATAAACTTCTAATATTACAATAACTTTAATGGTTCCTACAGTTACTTGTAGGAGTTAACAGTTAACAGTTATCTGTTGTTGTTCCGTACAGTCGCTTATAATATATATATATGTATCAATAATCAAAACCCTGCTTTATAGTGACGTTAGAAATAATATATGGAATACAGCCGAACAATTTGATGGTGATATATTACATTAACGAGACAATATTTCTCATGTTCCAAAATTGTATTGTACGTCACATGCTGCAATGCCTGGTACAGTCTTTTATATACGATAAATGTTCCAAAATTGTATTGTACGTGACATGCTGCAATGCCTGGTACAGTCTGCTATATACGATAAATGTTAGACAGCCTGATTGCGAAATCTGGCTCTGTAGAGACCTCGGGGATAGATCGAAGAATATGTTATAACAATTTGGTACTGATATATGACAGCAACGAGGCAAAATATTTTTTCTTGTAACATGGTATTTCGCGGGACTCGATGCGATGTTTCGTACGACACACGCTTTATTAATATATGATACATTTTTGACGGCCGGAATGCAAAATCTGGCTCTGTAGGGACCTCGATGATAGTTCAAGGAATATTCCATATAAATTCGGCGATTACATATATTACGCCAACAAGGCGGAATATCTCTTCTTGTGAAATTGTATTCGCATGATCCACTTTGACGCTTGATGCATCTTTATTTATTTATAATAAAAGTTAGACAGTCCGATTGCAAAATCTGGCTTTGTGAGGATCTTGGGAATAATTTTAGATACATGTTATAACAATATGATGATGATATATTACATCAGTGAAGGAATATATCTCATTTTGTACAATGCTACGAGTACTATACGTGATCCGCTCCGACGCTTCATAAATCTTTATTTATTTATGATACATTTCTCACAGCCTCACTGCAAAATCTGGCTCTGTAGGTTTCTCGGGGATAGTTAAAAAAAGATACTATAACAATTTGACGGTGAAACATATCGTCAAGGAGGTGAAATTTTGCATCTTCTATAATGATTTTTCAACTGATTCGCTCCAACGCCTGGTACGACGGGCGCTTTATTTATATATTATACATTTTTGACCGGATTGCAAAATCCGGCTTTGTACCGATCTCGGGTATAGTACGAAGAAGATGCTGTAACAATTTGGTAATAATACGTATCGTCAAAGAGACGAAATATTGCATCTCGTAAAATAATATTTCGAGTGACTCTCAGCTACGCTTGGTACAGCGAACGCTTTATTAATGTATGATAAATTTTTGACGGCCGGGTTGCAAAATCTGGCTTTGTAGGGTTCTCGGGGATAGTTCAAGGAAAATACCATAATAATTTGGCGATTATATATATTGTCAACGAGGCAATATATCTGTTCTTGTAAAATTGTATTCCGCCTGACTCGCTGCGATTTGGTACAGCTGACGTTTTATTTATGTATAATAAATTGTTGATAGCCTATTTGTAAAATCTAACTCTGTACAGATCTCGGAAATAGTTGTAGGAAGATGCTATAACAAGTTCATGGTCATATATTACGTCAATAAGGCAAAATATTGCTTCTTGTAAAATGGTATTCCACCTGACTCGCTGCAACTTCTGGTACGGCTGATACTTTATTTATATATTATAAATTTTGGACGGCCGGATTGTAAAATCTGGCTGTATAAGGTCCTCAGTCCTCAGGATAGTTCAAGGAAGATGCTGTAACAGTTTAGCAATTATACGTATCGTCAACGAGGCGAAATTTTACATCTCGTAAAATAATTTTTGGAGTGTTTCGCTGCGATGCTTGGTATGGCGAACGCTTCATTTATTTTTCATAAATTTTAGACGGCCGGATTGCAAAATTTGGCTTTGTGGGGATCTCGGGAATAATATAAGGAACATGCTATAATAATTTGGCGATGATATATAACGTCAGCTAGACAAAATACGTCAATTTGTAAAATGGTACTGCACGTGAGTCGCTGTGACACTTAGCTCACTCACCCAAAAGCCTGAAAAGCATTTTCTCGCCGTGTATCGGCCGGCGAAATGCCCCAGTGAGTAAGACAAGGATGGTGCGACCGATTGTTCGTCCTTGTCAAACTAACTTGACCCAACCTTCCTGCTCTTGCGCTCGCGCGCACGGTGTTGGTTCGCGATCTCGCCACACGAGGCCTCCAAAATCAACGCTGGATTTGTCTCTGGCTCCTGTAGACCCTTAAGTTTAGAAGTTGATATTTATCTTGGTTTATCTTATATATATGTTGAATTACTTGTATATGGTGTAGAAAAGTCTGTGACATTATTAGGAATAATATAATTATACAAATATGGATAATGACAAAAGCACTATGCTTGCTGTTTTACAGCTTCTGAAAAAGTACAATTTAAAGGTAAGTCACAGAATATTTCTCGCATTCGCTCAAAAAGCGTCATAACCTGTTTGTGTATATCATTCGAGAAATATAATAAACTTTTACATATAACTGGATGCGGATATTAATAACCGTGTGATGCCTTCTTAGAGTACTGAAGAATTATTTAGAAAAGAAGCTAATCTTCAAGATGTTTCAATTGAAGATTCTCAACAAACTGATTCTGAGGTAACCAGTGTCCTTTCTGCTTACAAAAGTGAAGGAGATCCTGCATTATATGAGAAAGCATATAGTGAATTGAAAAAATTTGTAGAAGGAGCTCTAGACATTTATAAAGTAAGCTGAAGTTAAAGTTGATATTAAGTATTTGTAACAAAGTGTATTTTATTTTATTATTTGATAATACAGCATGAATTGGGTACCATATTATATCCAGTTTTGGTACATATGTATGTGGAATTGGTTTACAATAATCATCCTGAAGAAGCAAAACAACTTATGGAAAAGTTTCGTGGGAATTTGGAAGAATATTATCAAGATGATTTAAAACGATTGTCGAATGTAACCAAACGTGAACAAATGGCAGGAAATGAATTAACTGATACCTTTAAGTAAGTGTAATATTAGATATCATAATTCACTGCATATAATATGAACATATGAAGAATCTTTATTTTCTTACAGGTCTAATCAGTTTATAATTAGAATGTCAAGAGATACTCTTTCTATACTAAAACGACATTTGCAAGAAAAAAAACATAGTGTTTTATTAAATATCATACAAGAACATCTATATTTTGACATGTATGAGGGTGTTGCTCGTAATAAACAACAAATTGATGCAACATCTGGGGCTACAGTGGGAGAAGCTACGCGCCAAGGTAATTTTTTATATTTCTGAGAAAAAAATATCTTGTGTATCTACATCTTATAAAATAGTTGTCTATCACTAAAGTTATTTTGTAGATAATAAAGCCAAAGTCTATTATGGACTTCTAAAGGAACCAGATATTCAGTGTGTACCGCCAGCTGAAGAAGAAGAAGATGATACAGGTGGTGGAGATGGAGATAAACCAAAAAAGAAAAAGGCTAAGAAAGATCCTTTATTCTCAAAGAAGACTAAATCGGATCCAAATGCACCACCTGTGGGCAGAATGCCTTTGCCTAATCTGTAAGATAGATGCATGGCTATAATAATTATAGTTTTTAATTTTTACATAAATCATTTTTGTATTTTAGGAAAGATGTTGATAAACTAGAAAAAGTGAAAGCATTAAGAGAAGCATCAAAAAGAGTTATTGTTGGACCTGATACACTACCGTCCATATGTTTTTATACATTAATGAATGCTGTTCATACGTAAGTATATATAATTAAATTACTTCTCCAGTATCTGCTTGTAACTACAGCTACAATTATTATTTAGCGTAACATCAGCAGAAGTATCGGAAGACTCAAGTTTATTAGCTACCGGTTTCCGTGATTCTGGTATAAAAGTATGGAGTTTAGTGCCACAAAAATTAAGACTAATGAAGACGGGTGAAGAATTACAAGATATTGATAGAGAAGCAGGTAATTTGCAAGATTTATAGAAATAGGGCTTTCATCAGTTTTACATTATTACAAAATGCTTATTATGAAAAATGTTATAGATGATGTATTGGTTAGAATGATGGATGAACGCACCTCTGAAACTGCAAGAAATCTATATGGTCACAGTGGGCCAGTTTACAGTCTTTCATTTAGTCCAGATAGAAATCTCTTACTTTCATCATCAGAGGATGCTACAAGTAAGATTTACTGAAGTCCTAAGATTTACTAGATTCATAAGATATTTGACATGATAACTGATTGTAAAAAGTTGATACGATATTAGTAATATCCATTTTAGTAAGATTATGGTCACTTCACACGTGGACATGCGTCGTATGTTACAAAGGTCACTTATTTCCTGTGTGGTGTGTAAGATTTTCACCACATGGTTATTACTTTACAAGCGCTTCGTACGATAGAACCGCCAGACTGTGGGCAACAGATTCACATCAACCGTTACGAATATTCGCTGGTCACTACTCGGACGTTAATGTGAGCTAATATTATTATGCATATTAATGTAATTAATCAAAACAATCAACTGTTTTATATTTTTTAGGTAGTCCAATTTCATCCAAATTCAAATTATGTTGCGACTGGATCAAGCGACATGACTGTGAGATTATGGGACTGTGTAACTGGCAGCCAAGTCCGTTTAATGACTGGACACAAAGGGCCTATTTATTCCCTAGCTTTCTCAACAGAAGGACGATTCTTAGCCTCAGCTGGTACTGATCATCGTGTACTAGTATGGGATTTAGCGCATGGTCATCTTGTCGCTGCTTTGTCAGGGCATACAGGCAATATTGAGTGTTTATCTTTTAGTCGCGATGGCAATATTCTAGTTTCAGGTACATTACTTTGTGCACTTATATAAATTGGTTGGGACAAATTTCACTAATATATTGTTATTTTGCCAGGATCCTTGGATTATACAGTACGATTATGGGATTTTACAAAGTTGGCAGAGGAAATGAGCTTGGAAGACGTCAACGTTTCACACAATCCAGATGTGAAAACTAATGCTGAATCATATTTACTACGTACTTTCCCTACAAAAAACACATCTATTCTAACATTGCATTTTTCACGTAGGAATTTACTACTAGGCGTAGGCATGTTTGAGTCAACATAATAGATATAGAAAGACAGAGATTTATCTTCCCATGTTTATGCAAAATAATATGTATATTTCTATAAAAAAAACAATAAATTGTTTCTCATTCTTGAATCCTTATTGTTACAGTGATAAGATTTATATTTAATTCTTCTAAGCAATAAAATTAATAGATCTTAAAATTCTTTATTAAACAAATATAAATTTTTGAATTTTATTTTCAGATTAATTTTTCTATAATTCGATTATTATAGATAATTACTAGAAAATATATGTATGTTTGTGGGAGTAAAGGTAACAAAAGATAGTAACCTAATAGAAGGTAGTAAGCTGAGATGTATAACGATCGATAATTCCTACGAATTTGTAACGCAAGCGAGTGATGGGTGAATGGATATAAGTAGTTCGTTTCGTGCCTCTCTTGTCGTGTTAAGCGCGATCTATGTGTAATAGAGCGACACAGGATAGTGATATAGATAGAGACAGAGAGCTCGATCCAGTTGGAGTAGAGCATGATTGCGGTTAGTAGAAAAAAGCAAGTAGGAAGAAAATAAGATGCTTGGACGCAAATGAAAGTGAGTAAGCGGTTCCCCGGCGTTCCAGTTTTCAGCTGGGCGTTGTCCCCATAAAATAGTTGCATTTCACTCTCGTTCCCAATGATGGATGATAACTGTGCAAGGTTAAGTGAGTTCGGTGCGTATACATTTACATTCTAACAAGTTGCCGACGTTCTTACGCCTCCAAGATATTTTCTTCAACGATCTTCCCCCCTTCTTATTTTGCATATGTGTAACTGCAGACAGCTATGAAATGGTTAAAGCCTTGTACGACTTCAAAGCCACGTTTGCGAAGACCCTTAGCTTTCGGGAAGGTGAATATTTTATTTTACTACAACGTAATATCAAGCAGAAGAACTGGTGGCAAGTTGTAAATAGAGGCGGCCATCTGGGCTACATACCATCTAATTACGTCACTCCTATAAAGGTATATTGAGTTTGTTAAAAATTGAATATTGTTAATTTGTTATTCATAATTTATTAAATCAATAATCTTGATTATTAGGTTCAATCTCAGTTTATGATTGACTTTTTGGAAGACTGTATAATAACTCTGGAGACAGAGCTTAGTAAACATAGTGAATCACTGCATACAGACAAGCAAGATCTTCTAGCAAAATTAGTAGAAAGGAAGAAGCAAATTGAATTAAATAGAAAACCTAAAAAGCAAGCGCCTAAACCACCGTCAGATTTAGAAGATAGCATTACATCCAAAGAAGCACAATCGATTGCTGTCTGTGACAATACAAAGACAGATGTTAGATCAGTGCCGAGTAATACTTCTTATACAACAGCACAGACTATTCCTCATACTAATATTAATGCAGATACTGTTCAAGCAATTATACAATGTCAACAACCAGGTATAAATGAACAACGTGTACAAACATTTCCTCGTCAGTCATCCTCTGATACTATGCAAAAAGTCCAGTCACAAATTACAGAAGTACGTAAGAGTTCTTCCCAAGGCAGCATACAGAATATATGCTGTGGCTCACCAGCTAAGAGCAACTCGCCTGCTAAAAGCAGCTCGCCGGCTAAAAGCAACTTATCGTTGCAAGCTATTAATTCACGAAGTGCTTATCAACTACTCGATCAAGTACGCAAAAATACTCAACTTAGTTATGAAATGTCAAAAGTAGCAGTTACGGTCGTAGTATCTGGCCTGCGGCAGTTACTGCCAGAAACTGTAAGTCATTATTTCGATGCTTTGTTGCATCAGCTACAAACACCACTGACTGTATCAAAGATGAGTATAGAAGAAACTTATGATGCTAATAGGTTGAAAATAATTTTTACCGAATTGACTTCGTGCAAAGAAGATTCACAACAAAGAAGTTGGATGCTTTATGAAGATGAATCTATCATCGTGGAATATATTAAAGAGTTGACCGAAATATTGGTAAATAGTTTTTTTTTCAAGGGAGCAATCTCGTTTCCTCATAGATTCGCATTTGTATTGGATACTTTACATTACATATAAATCTCGATATTATATCCTATTTTTGACTTTTGATTTAATTGTGAACAGCAAGTATAACAGTATATAAATGCAAGTCTATATTTAATTGTTAAACATTTAATATTCACTGTTATATTCTCTTTACTTTAAAGACGAACGCTGATGCAAATGTATCGAGATATGTTTTGAGGCAAGATCGGTATAATGGAGTGACAATATTAATACAATATTATCAAATGGAAACAAGATGGACTATTAGACAATTGTTGTTGCAATCATTTGGTGTTATGTGCAGTTTGGATCCAGTGGTTCTAACTATAATGTTGAATAGTATTTTACCAATGGAATTAGCAAGGTAGTGCAAGAGAGATAGATTGTTTACATATTTATAATAATAAAATATATTAGATAACTAATATTTTTGCGTTTGCATCTACAGAGATATGAAGAGTAATCCCAGAAATGTACTAAGATTAAATTACTCATCTTTGTTGCTTACAATGATCTTCTCGATGGGTGAGCCCATGCCAGTTACGCATTTGGGTGAGTAAACAACATATAAGTATAAAGTTACGTTATAATTAAAAATACATAACTAAAATGCAGCTCGTGTGAATGTCTTTTTATGAATTTCATTACAGAACAACTTGGTCCAGACTTTATATCATTCCTTTTAGACCTAATAGAAACACCACCTGATACAGATTTAGAGGATCAAATTCCTGACTTGTTCGTAAATTTAATATTATCCTACAATCTGCAATTTACAACTTCTGAAAATATAGTTCTAAATGCCTTACGAGAGCGGACTGTGGCCAAAACTTTCACTGAAAAAATTTTATTCCTTTTTAACAGAGAAGGTAAATTTTATGCGAGTAATGTCAGGCCTGATTGTTCGAGCTGACAAACTTTTATAACTTACCACAGAGGATCCGGTACGGATATTCGATCATGAGCCACAGCCACCACATTCTGTATTGAAACTCTTTATCGACCTATTCAGTAATGATGTTATAGCAAGTCTCTTCTACACCAATGATGTGAAGGTTCTCATTGACATTATATTACGGCAACTTTTTGACATGTTCCCGGGTGATAAGGTATTATCTTATATTATGAATTGTTAAAAAAAAAAAGAAACAGATTTGTGAAAAATATATTGAATATATGTCTAATAAATAACTCTTTGGTGCAATGACAGCGTCGACAATACTTAGAGCTCTGCCGTCGAGTTCTACGTACGTCAAGCTATAACGAGCACCGTCATCGATCAGAAGATTTATTAAAATGTTTTACCAGGTAAAATCTAGTTACACTACAGCTTATTAATATCTTTCTTTTATTTCGTTGTATAGACTATGTTGTATATCTTATATTCTATCTTAGGATATTCTGCGAGGAAACTACAGAAAGTCAAGAAGACCAACAAGTAGTACGTGAAATTAGCAACGAATTTCCACATTTATTCAAAATGTGACATTTAATTTCATCCTCTGATCAAGATTTGGAAGAGGATGATCTGCAAACTCTTGTCTAAATAAATCCTTCAAACTCGTCGAAGGTAAAAAAATCAAATTTACGATGAGTTTTGTTAAACTTTATGGCTCGTTCCTTATGTCTTCTACTATACTCAATAAAATAAATAGTAAAACGCACACTATTTGCAAAATATTTAACGATATAATATATTTTATGACTGCCATAAAGATTTCCATTTAGTTGGTGCTACATCACACTCGTAGATAGGTGAAATTGTAATTGTTTAATTTGAAAAACATATAGAAAAAAAGAAGTCCTTTGCACTCTTATCATGAGGACCACTGATATCTAAGAGCATTCCGCAACATTTTAATAACTAAATTATATCTTTAGTCTAATTAATAATTCTGTAATAGGTAATTGAATGGGGTAATTTATACATAGAGATCATATTGAAATAAAATTTAATATAAACATATAGAGCTGAATATACGCATCTCTGTGTGTATTGTTAAAACAGATGGAGAAATTAATTAAAATTATAATATTTCTCCATAGTCTAGTCTATACACATACACACACATACATACATCTATACATGTCCGAAAAATATTCTAAGTCATAGAAATTAAATTTTAGCTTGTATCTTACTTTTCAGAGAGATACAAATACTTTTACTAACTTTACTACTCTGGTTAAGCAAATAACGCTGTTATTTTGCGAATGTCTCAATCATCTTTACATAAAAAAAGAACAAAGTATTAGATAAAAATTCATACAGGAATTTGTAAGATTTACTAGGTGCCACTGCAATCAGTAAACTTGCTAGTCTATGATCAGTGACTATATTTTTTGAAGCATGTTATTCTACGTTATATATGTGTTTGCAACTATTAATATGTCAATTATAAACGAATCTCAAGTTTATTGTAATTATAGTCGAATGTTAAATAAATAAAAAGTTTAGCTCATACGTTATATAGAATATTAATTTTCCTTTCTCCCATAAATAAAAATTCTAAATCTAATTTAATTAAATATTCACATATAAGTAGATAAATTTATATGTAAAGTTTAATGTAATAAGTATAATAAATCTAATATATTTAAGAAAGAATTAAATTTACGTTAATTATAATGATAAAATAACTTATAATATTTTGTCTGTGACATGAAAATTGTGTATATTAAGAGTTATAATTAAAGTTGAACGTGTTTCCATGTCTAGAAACGCAAAAAACAGAAAAAAATTAAAGAACGTAAATGTTAGTGCAAAAATATGGCAATTTAATGCAAAAAATTTGAAAAACGATGAGTCCCACGATGTTGATGCATCTTAATGCATTGGAGGAAAATGTTTGATATTACCAAGCAACATTAGACATAAGACTTTTATCTTGTTTTATTAATAACAATAAATATACTGTCAATGAAAAAATTCCAAGGCATCATATAAGTATATGAAACAAAATAAAGCTCGTCCCTTTAAAATAAATGTGATGGATGTATAAAAGCAAAAAAATATATTCAATCGATGTTTATGGCAAGAATTTGCTTCTAGATATTGATCGTAATGTGGAAGATATCTGTGCGAATAAATTTGTCTGTCAATTGTGGTGCATTGATTTCTTATAAACACGCGAATGATTAACTTCAAGGCATAACGTTGCATGCGCACGAGTGTCTTTGGATCCAGAAGCAGTTCACCTTTCACGCTAAGAAATTATTCTCCGGTCATCATTTCCATGAATTCTGAGAAAAGGAAAAAAGCAATATAAGTTTATGACAAATACAATAGAGAATGATATTTCTATTCGATTGTTTTATCGGATTCGTATGACACTCTTATTGTATAATATTTGATTTTATTTTAAATCAGAAATGATAAATTTAGATTAATTTAGACCGTATTGTTACGCTGAATTCTGTTGTGGAAATGACCAACATTATTAGTTTGACCGTCTGTGAGAAATAACAATGTTGCCTAACATCCGAATATTTATGAATGTCACGTGTGAAACTCGTAAGGAATCGGAACGGACGCGTGATCTTGATAAATCGTCGCGATTTGTTAAGTAAGAATATTAAAATAGACAGTCGCGGGATCAGTGGCATCCTCGATCTGCCAACTCGTCCGCGTATAAATAAACCGCTTGGTTCTTTCTTTCGTTCAATTTGCATTCGGTATATCTGAATCGTAAAATGAGAAAAAAGAAAACGAACAGATTACACACGATGTATCTTAGAATCTTAGACAAAAGCAATGTATTTCTTTTCGCCGACTACCGCGCCGAACTACCGACTACCGAAATTACAATATATCCGGTGTGCCTTCTCAACAGAAAAGAAAAATAAAGAAGGAAAAACATTGAAAACGTACCATCGAAGTCGACTGTGCCAGAACCATCAGAGTCAATCTCTTCGATCATCATATCCAATTCCTCGTTCGTCAACTGATCGTCCAATTCTCTCAGGATTTCACGCAAGCACGTCGTTGGGATGTAGCCGTTACCTATTAAAGCAAAATTGATCGAACTATTGATTTATCGCTTGCGAATTCGCAGCTGCAAAATTTCCGAAAATGACGTGATATTGGCCGATATCGCGCCGATATTCTTTCTATAAAAAATTACATATCCTGGAGATTATTTACACGACATGTAACACTCACCCATTTCTCTTGCTTAGACACAAATAATAATCGCAAATTTTATCCGCTCGGCATTACGCGCGGTCGGTATTATTTATCTTCGCGGTGCCAGCGGTGTTAAAATACATACGATACACCCTCGACATAATCGTAATTCATGAAAGATGTGTTACGACATTCTTGGCTTTCAGCCGCCACGTGAGAGTTTGCTCTTGGGAATCTCCGCGTAGCCGCGGCTTATTTTTACGTACGCGCGTATAACCAACTTAATACGAATTTAATGCGTTTATTTATAAACGTATCCCGAGCTTTCTTTGTCGCATGTGTCATGTTTGTCATATCTTTCCTCACCGCGAAACCGACTTTATATTTGTTTCATAAAACAAACTATGTCTGCTGGCTATACTCATCACGTTTAACAATGCGCGGTATAACCGTTTAACGGCTGCAAAAAATAAAAACTTTCGGAAGCTGTGAAAGATTTTACGTCAAATCTTACGACGAGATTATCAATTGATGAAACTCGACGAAAGTCGAGGAGCGTCTACGAACCTCGCGAAACCGCAAAAATCTTACCTTCCTTGTCGTAGAGCCTGAAAGCCTCCCGAAGTTCCTTCTCCAGAGCCTCCGCGTCTTCCTCAACGATGAATTTCGCCGCCAACGTGACGAATTCATCAAACTCAAGTCTCCCGGACTCTATAAACGAAGAATTGTGTAAGTTCGCGAAACTGTGCTCAGTAGATCATATAAATAGTTCCTTTCTGAAGCGCGTTACGGTAAATTAAATTGTCCGACATTTGACAACAACTCGTAGAGACCGATAGCGTACAATGTCTGTAAACATTTTAGAAATAGATCGGTAAACAAGTAATTATTATACAATCGTTAATATTCTTTAAATAGACTTGATAATTCGCCGTGCCATACGTATCTACGTTGCTGGCAATCGCGAGAAAAGAAAGCTGCTATAATTCTTTGCATGTTCGTCGTTGCAATATTCTCTCATTTACACATTACACGCACAAAATTGATTTATATAGAATTCATATAACACAAATTCAGAAAAATGTGTGTAGCTTCATAAGAAGTATGTAGTCCATAGGAGAAAAATTGGTAAAATAAATGTTGACGATATATAAAAATAATAAATTATATAAAAATATATACGTATATAAAATATATAAAAAATAATAATAAACACAATAAATAGTAAAAATAACAATTGTATCAAATTAATGCACTTACTATCAGCATCAACTTCATCGATGAGCTCATCCAGGATCTTCTTATTGAACGGTTGACCCATTAACCGAAGGATATCGGCCACCATGTCGGTGGGAATACTGCCGCTTTTCTCCCTATCGAAGCTGTCGAAAGCTTTGCGCAAAACTGCAAGAAACAAATTACGCTTATTTGTAATCACGGCGCACCTCATAAGTGTGCTTTATCAGGGAATTTGCCTGTTGAACGCAAGCGAATTTGTATCATCTCCTTGTACGCAAGAAAAGAAAAGGCAACTCTGACCGAAGTCAGATTTTAAATGGAAGATATGATGAGCGACGCAAAAAACTGTCAATGTTCTCTTTTGAACCGAGTTTCGCTGACAACAAGTCAACCGGTTAAAGACGTTCGCCGAGGCGATATGAATTTAGACCAAATGTTAACGCCCTTCCATTAGCACGAGACGGTTGGCGCTGAACTTATTTGGCTTGACACGACAAATTAACTTTTAACTAGTATCGTGTGTATATGTGTGTCGGCCATTAGATCGGACTAGTTAGAAATTTTTCATTTACTTCTCGAAATATCGCACTTTTTGCTCTTTATATTGATTGAGACTCAAATATTAAGATATGTCTTAAACCGCGAAACAGAATCGTGAATCTCTGGTCACAATCGTCAATCGTTATCAATCGGAAGAAAAATCTACGCGTCGGTTGTATTTTTGGTTGCTCTGAGAATCGCACAGTTCGAGCTATATTCGTATCACGGGGCACTCGAGCCGCTGTGCTGCGTCGCGGAGAGGCTTAATTCACGAGGATCGCTCTCCAGGCGTTTGTTTCAAAATCTCTCAGAAAAGCCGACGACGTCGGCGAGACCCGGCCGCGACTCGCAAACAGCTGGAATTGCCCTGAAGTTGAGAGAGAGAGAGAGAGAGAGAGAGAGAGAGAGAGAGAGAGAGAGAGAGAGAGCGTTTATTTCTTTGGATTTTCGCTGGAGAAAGAGCGAAACGCGTTTTCTCTCTCTTCCCTCTTCGCTCTTTCTTTTCTCTCGTGTTTCTTTTTTTCCCTCGCATTTTCTCTCTATTTTCATCGATCCGATGTATTCGTAGCAAGTCCATCGTCGTAGCACGAGGTACGTAGAGCCACAAGGCGTTCTCTTTGCTGAGGCCGACACGACCAGCTATACATAGACGCACTCTCGGCACACAGCTGCCTCCGATCGAATTAAAGCGTAAATAAACTTGGGTAAAGACGGTGAAAGCAGTGAAAATTTATTCGGGCTGCGATGCGCGATCGATGTACGCCTGTACGCTCCGGTATAGAGGATTTCTACTTTTAGTCTTCCGGTAACTGTCCTAACAAACTCCGTTCTCTAACAAATCTCTCGCGACGTTTTCTCAACGCGATTTAAACCACGAGACGCCTTTATCAGTTTATCTCCTCACTCTCGTATGACATATTTATCCTGTTATTTTCTTCTCTTACAAATTGCGAACTCCCGCTCGAACATGTGTGTCTTAGTCTTGTAATCTTTTGTGGTGTTATGGAAAGGTCACGCGGAATTATTATTTTGATAAAATCATCGCGACGGAGCTTGATCACACATGAGGCGATCGATGATATTTTTTCAATTTTATCGCGATTTTAATCGATGGCACATTCGAGATTGTTATAGCGAGGTTTAGCAGAAATTAGCGAATTAATAATAACTTTTGTTAATAATTCAAAGTTACGTACCAGCAATTTGTTCCGGGGGCAGCTCATCAGCCTGTAAATATCACAAAGACAATGATGAAGATAAGGATCGTTATCGTTTACAACGACTATGTACATACAAATTATATCTCGTAAATGTGTTCGCACAGAGAACTAGCGAAAACCTTCGCGTGTTACATTCTCGTTATAACCAATATTATGTACAAAAATTGTTAAAAAATTTAACAGAAAATTCATCCAATTAAGAGTTGGCGATTATGTCCGAGAAAGAATGCTCGTGCCTTGTTAAAATTCAGCAGCTTCAACTTTTGAATCGCCGAGTTTATTTTTTCCCCGTGAAATCGCGCGAAGATCTGATGGAATTTCATTCTGCTCGCGAAGAAAACGGTTCAAATGTGTCGGAGTTAGTCGCATCTTTTCAGATCCCCAGCAGTCCGCGCGCATGCAGTTCCGCGTGTCTTACATCTATAACGAAACAATTGGGACTCCCTAATAACGAAATAATTGTTTGAGGATTTTTTATTCCAATGATCCTCTCGGGGTGATAGACTCGGTCGCACCGGCAAAGCGGCAACTTCGATGACTTTATAACGACTTGAAATTCCTTTTTCCTTAAGGATCTTCGAGTTGCTTCCAGTTGTTGCCTCGAAAAGAAGGTCCCAATTACCTCGTTCGGCCTTATTAACGACTATTCATGGACTACCATTACCATGGCGGATCTTTTTCGAACCGCCACCTTAAACGACTTGTCATTGTTCGCTCCGTGCAACGTAACGATCACGAAAAAGATCGATCCATTGATCGTTTTACACGAATGTATATAGTGCCGCAAACAGGCAGAAATGTACCTAGTAAGGTGCACTTTTAGACGCATTTCTTTTTTTGTTACTTAGTAAGGTGCGCTCCAAGACGTCGTTAAAGAGACGGTCGAATCTTTTTTCTTCTTTCTTTCTATTCTTTTTTTTTTTTCTTTATAATTCGCCGTCTAAGAAACAGTCACGTTTTTCCAGAATCTCTCGTCCATCATTCGTAGCACCGAAATAACTCTCTCAACCGAAAGCGACCGCAAGTTGGTCGGTCCGATGAAATTAAAATCCGGGAGCACGATTGTCGACTCGGGACACTTGCGCCGTCCACAATGCGACAATGTGTTAATCGTTATTGAATCACGATGCGTAAAACAAAATAAAACAAAAAAGAGAACACAAACGAGCCTGAGAGTGGATTAGAAAAGATAGATAGATACGAGAACGACGGTTATACTCCCAAACGACATGTGCAGATAATTTTTCTTGTTTCTACATTAGCCAGAGAAGAAAAGAGACAGAGAGAATATGCGTGTGTGAGAGAGAAAATGAGAGAGAGAGAGAGAGAGAGAGAGAGAATGAGAGATAGACTGAGCACGTTTAAAAAATTACAACAAATAGAACAAGAACAAGATAGACAGTAGGAAAACGTGTGTGTTTACCAGGGCGACGACTTACGATATCATCGATAGAACATACCATGATGGTGGCGCGAGTTTTGATTCTTTTTTACTAGAAATATACTAAATCGGAGCACCGGGGACACGGCGGTATGTACGGCGGAGCAGCAAATATTCGCAGCAGCACGAACTTGCGTTTGTCTCTCGGGGAAACGTCTCAGTGAGAAACAGGACTCCGCGGCAGAGCTTTGCTGTCGATTACGCACTGCCACGAGGACGACGCGGCGTCGCGGTAATATTCGAATGGGACGATATAGCGGTTTGCGTGCCGGTAGCGGACCGCACCCCGCAAGCTCCAGCCAATCGTCAAGGCTCGCCTCTTTAGCGGGCCTTAAAGCTTTCGGGAAGGCGCTTGTTGCGCTATTTCTGGGACAAGCGGACGGCTGTAGCGGCGGCGATCACGGCTGCAGAAGCGGCTCCGCGTCTCGCGCTCGCCCGCGAGATCTGGTAACGGTGGTGAAAGACGCACCGAGAGCAGACCCCCCCTCTCTCTCTCTCTCTCTCTCTCTCTCTCTCTCTCTCTCTCTCTCTCTCTCTCTCTTTCTCTATCTATCTATTTCTCCGGCCATTATTCGAATTAAATTATTTTTAACCTCGGAGATACACGCGCGCAAGCGTGGTGGGTCTCTCGTAAAAGTACACAACGCAAAAGCGAAAGTAAGGAAAAGTTGTTGAATGAGATCTCGTTGCTTAAGTGAGTTCGACCACGAGATGGTCAGGGGTTTTCAAAGGGGGAAGAACATACTTGAAGATCACCGAGACGGTAGGGGAGGAGGGGTTATTACTTCGGCAGAATTTTTCACAGTTAGACGCACAGTAGGCCGCGCGCGGTTGAATGTTTCACGTTTCACATTGCGGGTTCGGACATAGCCGAGAGAAGGAAATCGACTGTATAAGTTACAAGACGAGAGCTCGCGGTGGAAAAATAAAAAAGCGTGAAAGTGTGGGAACAGTTTATATGAATGTCCTCTTATACGCGGTTCCTACGGTAATATTCCCGACGAAGCTTAGGATCGAAAATATCTTAAAGTGGAGGAAATTATTACATGGACGTGTAATATGTTAAAAATCAGATTTGATTGACGTAAACATCTCTGTTCGTTTGTAATGTTTCGCACTTGCAGCCAAGCACATTTATCAACGAACTTTAATGCAAGATTCAATGGTTCGGTGGAGATTTGAGGTCTAAGGTCTCGTGAAAAATCCCTCGTATAAAGATAATATATATTGTCGTGATTGATGTTACATTCGTATAAGACAATATTAAAAATAGCTCATAGCTTTCACGAGATTCGATTACATTGAAAGATAAGAAACACAGAATTCTCGAATTATAAAAGAGAAGCGTTTGCACTAACATTATACGAGTGTCATATGTATGTAACACGAAACAAGCGCGCAGACTTGTTCAACACGATTGGCAAATTATCGCCGCAGAGATATTCGAGGCGAAAATGTGTGCGCGATATTCTAACGAGTTTTTATTAGATCTCTCATATCGCGCGCGATTTCCTGCGTGTTCTCGCACGAACATAGCATTATATTGCAGCGGTACGAAAATAGAGAATGAAAATCCTGTGGTTAGAGTAAGCGACAGTAAAACGTCGGAACGTATGGTGCACCGGACAAATCGATGTCAGACTTGCTACTTGGAATCGAGACAAAAATCTTCGTAACAATAGAAGCAAGTGCGACTGTGACAATTAGACCCCAAGAAATAATCGAGGAGTGTTAAACTCCTGCCATATAGAGACGTAATTGCGTCGGTAAAACCGTCGTAAATCCTTTGACCGCCGAAGAACTGAATCGTCAATTATTAATTGCTGTATTATTAATTGACTATTCTGTATACTGTATTACTATATTATCGATATCAAAAGGAGCTAATTTTTTTTCTTCCATACCAGTCACTCGTATGGAGTTTGTGTAAACGACTTTCTCTTGATAAATCATGAATTTCAAATACGATTGCATCTTTTTTAGATGTCAATTATTTTTAAATGTAAACTCTTAGAGAGAAGCGACGAATTATCCTTATTGCGCTCTTATCGCGCGACGATGGCTGTGCATAGCAACTGAAAACAGGATTCACCAGATATTTCTCACATTTCTCGCATCCATCGAATATCCGACGATTTAATTCATTCGAAAGCAAGCAGGGAGATCTGCGTCGAAGTAAAACCGCACACTTCACCTTCTGCACTTCACCTTCGCCCGTTTTCGTTGCACAGCATTTGCCTCGTGTTGCGGAACGCGCGTCTGCGAAGGCGTTTCTCTGTGATCACCATCCTAAAAATCGAGAAGCTCCTTTCATCACACTACGACATTCTTCGAGAAACTCACGCGTCGTGTCGTACATCCGCAGTTGGAAGGAACCGCACAAAATCGACAAGTCTCTTAACAATAAAAACATGCGCGCGCGCGCGCGCGCGCGCGACAGGATCTACGCTTCTCGTGTTTTAGCTCACGTGCTCATGAGCTCGCGAACGTATTTTCGTGAACGTATGCCAGATAGATTTCCGGACATTTGACACGATGAAAATGACGAATGGGACGCAAACGTCTACGTGGACACTTGCCAATAGAAGAACTCGGCTCGGACAGTGCTCTGTGTGGAAAACAATAAACAACCGTCGTATATATTGCCTATTTCGGATTTCTTCTATGTTCGCGTAGCTCGTTGCTTAACGTGCGGCAATAGCGCATGTTAATTTTATGCACGTCACGTCCGTTGCAAAGTCCGTTAACGTCGTATACTTGCTTTCACGGCGTTTCAAATCGGCTGCATCGAAGCTCCTATCTCGCATTACATTCCCGAAATAAAAATACAATTGTTTGTTTATCCGCGACGAAAGCGGGCCCGATATAATGCATTTTCATCCACTTAGTCATCGAAATATGCGCATATATATGCGCGATATTGGCCTAACTTCTCGGAAGCCGCACGTGCTTGTCTCGAAGATGTTTCAAAAACATTTCTTTTTCTTTTTTATTTCGAGACGTCTTCGAGACTCCTCAACAAAATACATCTCAATGAAATCTTCGATATTCCCACGAAATATTTCGTCTGCCATAAGACACTTCTGGGCGGCAAAAAGTAGTATCTTTACGTTGGACTCATTTGCGTCACGCGTGAAAGATCGCACGTGTGGTCAAATTCAGTGGTTGCGAAGCGGATAATCAGGCTCGATGATAAATTTATGAAACGCGAACAGTAGTTTCGCGAGTCGATATCAACTCGGAATCATCGATCTGAAATCACCGAAGAATCGTGCGGCATTCAGTTATTGAATTTTCTCGCGGACAAACGAACAACGAGAGCACTTGGATCCGCTCGTGTGGCCGGCGTATTTGCGCTCTCATCGAGCTGATTCATCTCCGTTTCAGATCAACGCTTTATTAGTTTTCGAATTTGGCATCAATAAATCAAATTCCTGGCACGCTCGAAGCAGCATCACATGTTTTCGCACGGGCCCCTATCCGATTAATATACTCCCAGTCATGCGCGGCTCTTTATTTGAGCAAATGATAAATTGGATTTCTCTCCCGTCCAAATATCGGCTAGGAGCCGATACTTATTCTATCATTTCCGAAACTTATGAAGCGATTTCATCATTTCCGAAGCTCGCAAAACCACTCCATGTTATCACGCCCGGCCTCTGTACTAAGAAAATGTTATTTACAATAAACAAAATAGATTTGTATATTGAGACGCCCAGATATTCGATCATTAAGAAATACAACAGATAATTATTCGTTATACAGGGTGTTCTAAAAAGATATGTCAAAAATTTAAGGAGATATTCCTCACACCTGAAGGATGAGAAAATGTTATATGGACGTAGGTGCGGAAATGCTTATTTCAGGAGTTATGTTGAAAATACTGTTAGCTGTATTACTTACACAAAGAAAAATTTAGGATTAATTATTGTAGACGACAATCGTTAATTAGGCTTATTTACATTTGGTTTTAATGTTTTATTCTGATTGGTGTTTACGAAAAAGGCACAGTTTATCAGAGATGCGTCGACGTGTCACCGCTTGTATTCAGGCGAATGACGAACATTTTCAACATTTATTGTAACTAACTCAAGGTCACATTAAAACCAAATGTAAATAAGCCTAATTAAACGATTGTCGTCTACAATAATTAATCCTAAATTTTTCCTTATGTAAGTATTAGGTATTAAGTATTAAGTATTAAGTATTAGTGTGTGAATTAATTCGGTCAGTTTTTTCTTCCAAAAAAGACTTTAGTATGAAAAACATGAAAAAGTACACTAATCAAAGCATTTGCCATCGTTTGCTATTATTTTTTCCCATCTGTCTGGCAGTTGTTGCGTTCCGTGACGGAAAAACGACTCGTCCTTCGAAGCGATCCATTCATTGAGCCATTTCTCTATTTCTTCGTAATTGTTGAAGTGCTGGTCCGCAAGCCCGTGTACCATCGATCTGAACAAATGATAATCGGATGGAGCAATGTCTGGTGAATACGGCGGGTGAGGTAAAACGTCCCAGCCAAGTGCTCTTCCAAGGTGGCCTTCAAAATCTTTCTAACATGGCCGAGCGTTATCGTGCTGGAAGATCACTTTGTCGTGTCTCTTTGCATATTCCGACCGCTTATTCTTCAATGCGTTGTTTAAACGGATCAGTTGTTGTTGGTAAAGTTCGCCAGTGATGGTTTGGCTCTGTTTTAATAATTCATGATACACTACACCCTTCTGGTCCCACCATATACAGAGCATTACTTTCTTGCCGTGAATATTCCGCTTTGGTATCGATGTGAATGGTTTTCCTGGGTCGCTAATGGATTTCCTTCGTTTGAGATTATCGAAATATATCCACTTTTTGTCTCCAGTCACACAATACGATGCAAAAAACCTTTTCTTTTTTGCCTGGCAAGCAAGATTTCAGACATGACTTTTCGCCTCTCGATGTCTCTTTCTTTCAGTTCTTTCGTATGGCACCCATTTTCCTTCTTTGTAAATCTTTCCCCATGGCTTTCCCATGGCTGCCAAACGCACAGAAATTGTTGATCGATCAACATTCAACAATTGCGCGAGCTCATGTTGCGATTGACACGGATCTTCATCGATTAGCGCCTGCAATTCCTCGTCCTCGAACTTCTTCGGCTGACCTGGACGAGGTTTGTCATCGACACTGAAATCATCACTTTTGAAACGTCGAAACCATTCTCTGCATGATTTATCGGTGGGAGCACTTTCACCATAAGCTTCTACGAGCATTCGATGAGCTTCAGCGGCTATTTTCTTCAAATGAAAACAGAAAATGA